TGTTAGTCTATAGGGTGCCACAGGACTCTCACTTTTTACAGATCCAGACTAACACGGCTACCCCTCTGATAGGTAATCATCAAGTGATCCATCCCCTGTCGCTCATTTCCAGCTTCTGGCAAACAGAAGGAAAAAAAAAATCAAGTAGTATCAGTTTACTTAGCTTACATTAATATCAGCAAGTGGACAAGCCATAATTTTTTTAAGATTTTACATACTGAAATTCAGAAGTTTAAATCTCAGAAGAAAGTGTGCAAAATCCAAGCACTACTCAAAATTTGAGCTGAACTGGTGAAGAGTCAAAAGAGTCAAGTTTTAGATGAACAGTTGCAAACTATACTTATACTATATAAACATATGTTTAAAAGACACTAAAACTATCTGCAGTGTTGTTGTAGCTGTGTTGGTCCAAGAATATTAGAGAAACAAGGTGGATGAGCTGTGTGGAGCTTGAAAGCTTTTATTGGACCAACTTCTGTTGGTGAAAGATAGGATATTACCTCACGCACTATTAAAACTGCGAAGTGAAGCATTGAATGAGGCAGAGGCAAGGGTCTGAGCAAGGGAAGTATGTGATCATGTAATTAAAGGCTGTCTCTCCCTTGATGCATTTTGATAAACAGAAGCTGCACAAATATCAACCTGAATTCTACTGTTTTGGTAATCTGAGTGCTCAACTTTACAACCTTAAAATCCTTTTAAAAGTTTTTTTCATGTAATTTCCTCAGTTTTCATTTTTTTAAAACCACCAAGCAAATCATGTGCAACTGTACCAAGCTCCTGTATGGATTTTCAACAGGGTTTGAACCCAGAAGCTTCACATCCATGTCACCATCCCTACCATCTCAACTGAAATTAATGGAGTTACATCTCACTCATGAATCTATACCAACTTAGGTAAAATTCTGAGACAGTGTAGCTAAGTGGATGAGACCTGGTCTGCCTTACTGCATAAGTGACCTTGTGCAAATCTCATAAGACCTTTTATAACAGGGGTCGGCAACCTTTCAGAAGCGGTGTGCCGAGTCTTCATTTATTCACTCTAATTTAAAGTTTCACATGCCGGTAATACATTTTAATGTTTTTTAGAAGGTTTCTCTCTATAAGTCTATATATTATATAACTAAACTAGTATTGTATTGTAAAATAAACAAGGTTTTCAAAATGTTTAAGAAGCTTCATTTAAAATGAAATTAAAATGTTGATCTTACGCGGCTGGCCCCAAATACCTGCTGCTGGTCGGGGGTTCTGTTCACCTAGGCCGGCGGCGGGGGGGGGGGGGGCCGCGGCGGGGGGGCCCCCGCCGCCGGGGGGGCACGC